AGATAATTTATTCTTTCAAATAAACATGGGCTTCATCTGGGGGAACCTTAAGAATCTTTAAGGGTTTATTTTATTTGTTTGTGGATGCATGGGCAAGTCAAACTCTTGAGCATGCCTTTTACACAAATTCTTCATCACTATAAATAAAATCCTATATGCCTATTTATAAATATACCAAAATAAAAGGACTCTCTGAAACCAAATGAGCATTCAGTGAGTAATTTGTTAAACAAGAAACCAAGGTTTTATACCAAGAGCCAAAAAAAACCAGTTGAATTGTTGCCGGTGTATTTTGGTGCTGAAAAAATCTCCAGGAGCAGTTAATTAGAGGTGAGATAAGAAAGGGTTTATTTGCCAAGGCAGTAGATGGTATACGACGCGCGCCGGCGTGCCTGAGATGCTACATTTTATAACACTATCCATCCAATCCCAGATGTGCCCACCCTGCGGCCTTTCCTCTGGTCCGCCCCGGGTCCACCCCCTTGAAATGGGTCTGGGGGTGTTTTGGGACCCCTCCTTCTTCCCATCTTCATCATCATCAGAGCACAAAGGGTACATAGTTACCTAATTCCTGACCTATTCTGTGGTTTAGGCCGAGATATGCTGTTCTGTCAACATATGTTCTGTCTAGGTCTTGTCTTGACAAAAGACTAAACACTTCTGCTGTATTCAGGGGTAGGATTGATATGGGGAGCATAGAATGGGGTAAGAGGGTTAGGGAATGTATAAACAAGGGTGCTGGAGAAAGGGAAAGGAACAAGGGACAAGGGGGGGGGAAGGTTGCTGCTTTAAAACTTACTTATAAAACTTACAAGTCTTACAAATAAATAAAAAAAACATTAGGGGCTTAAGGCATCAAATCGTAAAAATCAAGTAAATGTCCCAAGCAGCAAAAAACACTGTCTCACAAATTTTCTAAGGAAAATGTATTTAAGCTTTTTTCTCATGCCTTGTCCTGTCATATGCTCATTTCACATGCTCTTGCAAATACAAAGTCACCAGTTAGAAAGTCAAAACTGGAGGCAAAGTATCTTATTGCTGAAACATGATGTCTGAGGCGTTCAACAACTTCTCCCGTTAATGCCAAATGCATTATGAAGAAACAACTTCAATACATGTCATGCTCTCAGTTAACAAATGAACCTTGGAAAAGCTGTCAATTAGAGAGTATCAGATTGCATAGCTTAAGCCTATTTGATTGTTTGCAGAGCAACAAGAAAACCAATCCAATATCATCTGTCTTCTCAGGGTGTCCAGCTTCATGTGGTGATGAGCCATGTATATCCGTAGTGGTTTTGAATGCTTGCCTGCCAAATTCAGAGGTGTAACAAATTCAGGCTTGATAACCTTTTAGCTATGCAATATGCCATGCTACTTCTCTCTCACAGCACAGAGGGAGGAGGAAAGGGAGAGGTACAAGTACAAGCTCTCTTGTTATACGATTGCAAATATTGTCTGTAATGAAGCTGATAATGAAGGAGAGATGAAGGGGTGGGACTGTCTATTTCCAAAGAATATTGCTGCTCAGAGTTACTCTAGGAGAGGAGCAAACTCACCATATTTATCTATTAGTAAGGGAATACGAAAAGCAGATGTAAAAGTAGCTGGCCCCACAGAGAACCTGATTAAGTTGTGTGTTCTCAAAATCTATGTCCAACTACTATGAGGTTTGCATTTCCTATTTCATGACATTCTCACCCAGCTTATAGATAAGGAAACAATTCAATGGAAATTTATGCAGAAAGTTGTCTTCCTATGCTCATGAAATAAATCTTTAAACAATACCAGAGGCTCACCAATATCTAGGATTTTATCAGGAGTCTTTCAGTGTCTAGTACCTCCCTAAAATTCCAGTTCAATGTTTCAGTGATTATGTGAGAACATAAACTTTCTTCCCTAAAAGGACATTTTCTAGCACTCAGTTGTGTTTTGCAAACTGGGAACCCAAAGGGCTAACTCAGGGCAGCAGGTAAACAGGAACTGAAATATTGAAATGCAAATTATTTTTTTAAAAAAACCCTCTGAACTGTTAGGACAAATTTATGTCTTAGGGATTACTCCACTAATTTAATAGAAGTCAGTTTTTAAGACCTCTCTTTTTATAAGTCAATAAGGGTTCTTAATATTACTGGGGATAGTGGTGGCAGAAAAGGGAATGCACATTGGGAAAAAACCCAAACAAAAGAATTCCAAGTAACCTACTAATTTTTTACAAAAAGGGTTAACCAGTCAATGCATTTGCACAGTACTCTAAATTCAAAGCACTGTGAGCCTGCCATGGGGGAAATTCAGTGCCCAAGCTTATCTTCAAATTTTTGAGCACAGATCTCTCAACCAAGCAAGATGGAACTGATATTTGCAGGAGGAAGGGAGGATCAGAGCTTCTAATTTGCAAATACAAGTAATAATTTGTTCTATTTAAGTCTGTGTGATTAAAGGAACAATTATATACTGACACTTAAAATATCAAACTGTTTTCGGTTTCTGTAGAACTCAAAGTTCTAAAACTAGATTTAAAAAGAAAACCAAAGTTTGACTAAATAAATTCCTCCTTAAGTTTTTTTCCTCTGTAGGAGATAACTGAAATATTTTCACATTTAACTTAGGAATCAAATATTACCATGTTTGAATGGTAATTCCTGGTGATAAAAGAATGGCAAATAATACAGCTGCATTGATTCTTATCTTATTAAGTCAGTTTTGAAAAACATTGATCAATCTTCAGCATTGATTTTTTTCCTTCATTTTGTCTCTGATGCTGGAAAATAAGATCAATTTCTGAGTTCAGCAATAAGAGGAAAATGTCAGAAGATATTTTTAAGAATTCTTCATCCACATAGGTTAAACTTTTCCTTTTGATTCTAATGCCTTGTGTTATAAAAGGCATTTAAGCAGTAGTGGTTAAATATACACCCACTCGAACACTGTTTTCATTGAGGAAAGACCTAAAGACATAGTTGTTCTTTGTCACATCTCCTAAGTGAAATGAATAGAAGTCTGATTGCTGGGAACTCATATACCTAACCTGATTCAAGGTGGTAAGATGCTAAAATCCTTAGTCAAAAATTTTCAAGCTGGAAAGCACATGAACAGTATCAAGATAAAAGCTGATAGCTTCTCTGCGTATATAGATATCTCAGTACACAGAAAATTACTCCTCCAAGTGCTTTTCAGACCAACTTGAATAAATGTGCTGCAATAAATGTACACTCTAAAATAGACATCAAGCAACAAAAAGTTATGAAAGAGAAGAGGGAATGAGGACTGATCTTCAGTACTGCATTCTGAAGGGATCTGAAGGAGGGAAACTTGGAACTTGGCAGGCTGAAACTGTACACAGACGAGTTAACAAGATGCTGGGGAAGAATAAGGAATTAAAATTAAGCTTTAAAAAACAAGTGAAGAAAGACATTGTAAGTAGATCTTGGAAACTGCTGAAGAACTAGGACATGTGAAAGGTAACGGGGAAGGAAAAAGAATGAGTTACCTGATTAGAGGGCAAAGCAACCTTATTCTGATCTTCAGGCTGCCCTGATAGTTTCTCTAGTATAATATAAGAAATCACTGATTTTCTAAAAGGCATACTGTCACCTGTACTTGCTGTGAGATCTGGGACTACAGAGAAACAGGATTTCTTGAGATTTGGCCAACTGCTCTACAATACCTCCTCTGCTAGCTAGATCTTGTTTTCCATGATCTTTCGATAAAGCATCTTTTTAATAGCAGCTTTATTTCCTTGATTACTCTATAGATGGCAGCACACACTTGAAAGCAACAACAGCAGCAGAAAACTAAATACAGATGTCATAGTGTTACCCAGGGAAAAGGCAAAAACCACAGTTTGTTTTAGTACGTAAACATCTGGGTGCAGAAAATTGTATACAGATAAAAGATTTGGGGAATGGGTGGAAATCAACACAATCACTAAAGACTGCAGCAGAGAGGAGGAGGAGGAGAAAAGGAACAAGTATGAAACAAAGCCGAGAACATTTACGTTTAAAATCAAATATCAGTTGTTCCAGAAATATTTCTACTAATCATTAGT